CAAATGGAAAAGAACATGAACAATGAAATGAAAACTGTTCGTTAGAGTTTAAGGTTGATGTTCATAAGAGGGCTTGTCAGAACAGTGGTTGGCTGCCTAGATGTAGAGCAGCACCGATGAACATCAAGTAAAAAGGGGATTTAGGGTTCAGCGGTCGAGTAGGGTATAGAGACTCCCCCAAACCCTAGACCCTAAACTTGGGTTTAGGGATTGCGACTTAGGGCTAAAGGCTTACGGTTTTTGAGGGTTTCTCAGATAGGGGTATGAAGGGCACCCAGGAACATGTTGTTCAGGGTTTAGGGCTCTTCGAAGATTTTGTTGGTCCGTGGAGCATGCTATTGGGCTCATTTTGAGAAAGGGTTGATGCTGCTCTTTTCTCCTGTTCCATAGCACCCCCACTGTCATGGGGAGTCTTCCATCTTGGGTTGGAGGGTCTTATAGAAAACTAAACCCATTGCAGCTGATGCACAAAAATGTGAGTGGAAATCTCCCCCCTATACAAATCAGAAAACAAACCCCCAGCATGCACTAGTAATCCCTATCCCTCGGAATTCTAAGAACCCCAGAGTTTTGAGAAGCTCAAGTTATATAGGGAATACTGGAAAAGAAAACGGAAGCTACTATACCGTGATTATACAATGATTTCTTTAAAGGTCCTTTTCTCGGAGGCACGAGGTCCCGGAATATAGGGTCTAGGGCTTAGGATTTAGGGCTTCGGGCTCAGGGCGTAGGGCTTCCTTGGGGTTTTAGTAAAAGCGTGCATGCAGAACTTTTGTGCCTGCACAGTACAATCCCCCAAACTAACATGGAAACCCATATAGTACTCTTTTAGAGGAACTGTAGTCTTTATAGTGCCCTTTTTGGGTTTCCATGTTAGTTTCCGGGAGTGTAGATGGTGTACCGTTCACGGGATCCATCTTGCGCCAGGCTGAGCTCCGGTAATCCAAGCAATTCCCTAAGGGTCCAAGGACCCAAATAAGAGGGTCGCTTTTGAAGGGGTTATAGGGGGATATATGGGGATATATGGGGGCTAAATAAGGGTCCAAGGACCCAAATAATAGGGTTTTAGGGCCCAAATACTATAATATTAATGGTATTTGGGATCTAAAACCCTACTATTTGGGTACTTGGACCCTCAGGGATTTATTCAACCCTAAACCCCGAAACCTGAAACCCGAATCCCCTAAACCGGCATCTCAAGTGGTGCAAAGTTCCGTCCATCACAGCTTTACGGCTGAAGCCGAGGACATGGGGTTTGGGGCGCAATTTTCCTTCTTTGCAGGATTTAGTATAGCTTACATTTTGTGTTGTGTTTTGTTGCTAGGGGGCTTGAACATCACTGACCATGCCAGCTACCCTAACCCCCCAAAAAAAACCAACAACTACACACCCCCAGACAAAAAAGGACCGTGAAAAGACTTTCCACCTTGTTTGTAGTCCTTCATCCCGCTACTCCCGGCACCCTGAGCACCAAACCCTAAACCTGAAAGCGTACTAAACCCTAAACCCTAAACCCTAAACCCATGAAACCCTAAACCCAAGCAATGGTCCAGGCACGTGCCGGCCCAAAAGGTTGTGAAAGTTGGCCAAGTCAGCTGCTCCAGTACGGAACTGGAGACAACCTGCTCGCCTTTGCCTGGTTTAGGGATTTAGGGCTTAGGGCTTAGAGTTTAGGGCTTGAGGTTTAGGGTTTAGGCCTTAGGGTTTAGGGCTTAGGGTTTCGGGCTTAGGGTTTAGGGTTTAGAGCTTAGGGTTTCGGGATTTAGGGATTTAGGGTTTAGGGATTTAGGGTTTAGGGTTTAGGGATTTAGGGATTTAGGGTTTAGGGTTAGGATTCGGGGATTTAGGGTTAAGGATTTAGGGTCTAGGGGTTATGGATTTAGGGTTTACGGATTTAAGGTTTTGGGTTTAGAGATTTACAAAAGCAGTATGTGCAGAAAAGCAAGTATGATTTTTCAGAAGGGCCTCTTCAAGTAACCTGAACCTCCCCTAAACCCTAAACCCTTATTGTATTTTCCTTCGGGCCTTTGGCTCAGAGGGTCACTTGGCCCTGGTCATTCACTGTTTGCCGCTGTCTCCTGCTGGTCATGATGCAGGCCAGGCACTAGGTAACAACAGCGTTTAGGTTTGGTTTTAGCGTTCAGGGAGTTTGTAGAGAGGTAAAGGGTCTAGCATCTAGGGCTTAGGATAATTTGGAGCATCAAGTGGACAAGAACATGAGACTTGAAGCTGGAAGTGGAGTTGGAAACGGGTTGATATGGTTGATGTAAAAGTCCTGCCGGCTTGCGCATACATGGGATTCTTCAGGGAATGCCCCAGGCTGAAGCAATGCTCCTTCTTGAGCCCTTGGGCCCCTTCAAAAGGTTTAGGGTTCGACTCTGGCATCATTTGCTGATTTAGGTTCCCTTGCCTGTCCTCAGCTTTCAGTGCTGCTGAAGTCCCGCGCTTGAAGCGGCCACTCCGTGCATCATCTGAAAAACTAAGATCCCAAATATACTGCCATGCCAAACAGCCCATCATTCTCAGAATCCATCATGGTATGAACTGCACAATTTGGGAGTCGCGCGTGAGGCGCCTCGGATGCTGCGGCTTTCGCTGCGGGGCGCCCGCTTTTCCTCCACCTGGTCGCGTTTCACGGCTGGGCATGGGTACCGGCATACTGGTTTGGGGTTTGGCTTTGCGATCTAGGATATTTGGGGTTCAGGGTTACTTCATTGGGTGCTTGGAAAGCACCAGCTGCTTGTGGATGGAGCACCCGGGCGTGAACCCAACACCCTGTTGCAAGCAGGTTTAGGATTTCCAGTGGAAGGTTCAGGGTTTGGTGTAGAGTTCACAGGGTTGAGGGTTTAGGGCGGATTGAGAGAGAGAGAGAGAGAGAGAGCTTGAGATCTATGGAAAAGGAAGACAAGCGACCTATGGACGCGGAGACCTTGTGGGGTGCAGGGCTGGGCCCTGGGGGGGTTGTAGAACCCCCTATCACCCCAAGAAGAAGAAGAAGAGCTTGAGATCGATTCTTACACGCTATGTTTACGCCCGCTCCACTTTACTTTTGGACCATTGCCGTCTACAAGCTTGGTGTTGGTGCATGCATACAAGAAGGATCACCCTGCAAGGAAGTGTGGCCTCTGGTCTTGATCGGAATTCGCTCACTGTAGATACTTTTTGACTCCGACTCATGCGGTCAGGCGCCTCAGATGGTTTACATTGCCGGCGAGGAGCTGCGTGTGTCGGCGTTGGGGTCGCAGCCGTCACATGGTCATGTTCAGAAGTCCTCTAAGCAAACAGCACTACAAAGCAACAACAGTACCAATGGCATCATACGAGCAACAACTACAAGCATTTTCATGACAGGATTGAGGACACATGTTAAATGCTGATAGCTGAGAGTTGTCATGGTGAAGCCTGGTGAAGGAGATGTCTCGATACACCATGGAGCTCATCATGAAGAAGCTGGGTTGCTGTTAAGGACGTTAATGTTAAGTCACTATATTGCGGAAACCCTATTAATTACTATTTAGATATACCCATTATGGTAACTGCAGCAACCCTAATCCCTAAACTCTATTCAATTACTACATATGCTCATCATGGTAACTTTAAGTTCCTGAAGAGCAACCCAGGAAATGGGTGGAGCCTTCCATTGACACCTCCAAGTGGGAGTTCTATGATTTGAGCTGCAAGGTGGCTGTGCCTGCCAGATAGGGGTCCATGCGACATAGGGATCAGGGGGTTTAGGGATTAGAGGTTTAGGGTTTGGGGATTAGGGTTCAGGGATTAGGGTTTGGGGATTAGGGTTTAGGGTTTAGGGTTATTATCCCCCAAAATGGAGAATCAAATGGATAAGAAAATGGAAAATGAAATGGAAACCGGGGTTTAGGGTTTAGGGTTGCTGATAGGGTCTAAGACAGTTGCTACGCCCCCCAACAACTCCTGGCAGTTTCCGCGCCTATATCTCCCTATACAGGCAGATATAATGGGGAGATAGTGGTGATTTAGTGTAGATATAAGGGTATATTCGGCTATATAGCACCACATGGTAAGAAAGCTCTCCAAATACTCTACCTGAGATAGTATCGAGATAGTGCGATAAAGTGCGGGGTTTTGGGGGGAGTTGTAATTTCCTCTTAGAACGGCAACAGTTCTGGGCTGCCAGAGATAGCCCCGACATAGGCTTTCGATAATGCGATATAGTGCGATATAGTGCGGGGTCTGTTGGGGGGAGTTGTAAGTTCCCCCTAGAACGGCTGCAATTTTGGTCTCCCGGCAGCCACCGCTAGCCTACCTCAGCATGACATGCTCCTGAGATAGTTTGAGATAGGCAGATTTTGGGGGGAGCTCGAGGCAGGAGTACAAATTGTCTTAGATAGGGAACCTCAATGAAGTTACCATGATGGGTATGTATGGTAATTAAGATGTTTTGCCCAGCAGAATAACTTGAGTTAAGTTCCTTAGCAGCCACCCAGTAACTGGCTGCAGGATACTGGGTAAGAAAGAAGCCCCACCAAGGATGTGGTGGGGACTTACACAGACCTTAAGATCATTTTCTTTTCCATTATCCCTGTATAACCCCAATAATGACATCTGTTTAAGGGGGACTATATCCCCAATATATACCCTATTATAATATTGTAGTTTCCATTTTCTTTTCCATTATCCCCATATAACCCAGTAATAATAATATCCACTTAAGGGGGGCTGCACGAGTCCTTGTAGCACCCTGCAGGCGCGAGATGAGACCAATGATCAGGTACTCAAGGCCACACGGCTGGTGGGTGCTCCGTCTGGGTTGCTGTTAAGGAACTTAATTTAAGTTACCATAATGGGTATATATACTAAATAATTGGGTTTCCCCAATATAGTAACTTAATTTAAGTTCCTTAACAGCAGCCTAGTTGTGGCATTGTGGGGTGGCTTGCGTTTCTAAGTGGACTTTTCGGGGGGTGGGGGTTGCAGGATTGTTTGATTCTTCATTCCTGAAATGAGAAGAGGGGCAGAAGCAGGATGCGGTGGCGGCGGGTGCGAGGATTGGCTCTATCTTCAAGGAGCCAGAGCCACAGCTTCCGGTGCGTTGTCAGGTGCCGGTGCAGCGGCCTGCTGCGTTGCAAGCATGAGGCCCACCATCACCCCGACCAAAGAGCAGTCGCCGTCTTGGCTATTTCGTGCCTGCGTTGACCCATGCCTTGTTGGTATTGGGAATGTTTACAAGACGCCAAGGATGGCAGAAATGGGCCTCAGCAGAGCGCTAGGCTCTCCAAATGGAGCCATGTGGTCGGCTCAGACTTTGTGATGTTGGAGAAGCATAACCCTTTGAAACACTTGGCAATTTACCAAAATAAGGGGACCTCAGTATAGAACCCCCAAATACTATAGTCCTCATTCTAGGGACCCCAAAAAGGTATAGTCCCCCTCAATTGGATAGAATATGGCTGTGGGTATGTTATAATAAGATCCCCATATACTCCATATTCTATCTACTTAAGGGGGACTATAACCCCAATATCTACACTATTACAATATGGTAGTTTCCATTTTCTTTTCAATTATCCCCATATAACCCAGTAATGATAATATCTACTTAAGGTGGGCTGTACCCCTAGTCTTAGCCAACTCCCAGTTTGTACGGCTTCGGATACTGGGTTCAGGGTTAGAGTTTAGGGTTAAGGGTTTCGGGGTTTCGGCTTTGGGGGTTTAGGGGTGTAGGGGTTTGGGTTTAGGGTTTAGGGTTTAACAGCTCCCGCCTGAAGGCGAAGAGGATGGAACGGCATCACGATATCTCGGGACTGCCTCTTACAACTCCTGACCATGGCCTTGGATTCACTGGGTATACATATATGCGTATATATACATATATATATATATACATATTCCCCCAATAATGGAGAATCGGATGGAAAAGAAAATGGAGAATGAAATGGGTCGAAAAGAACATGGAGACTACTATAATGGGTTATGTTGGGACGACGATACTATATGGATCCATTCCTTCATTCCTAGCTAAGCAGAGGCAAGACTCTTGCTACGAGTGTTCGTAATACTCGTAATACTAGGATCAATGCTACTCTCGCTACAGTTGTTATTGTTGTACTTTTATCAGTGTTTTTTACGTATTACTTCCCTTCTCACACTTGTTGCTGGCGCTCCTTGCTTGTATTGTTGACCGTGGACATCATGCAGGATACCATCCACATCCCTGGCATTGAGCTGGGATTCAAGCGGCCCGTCCTCTTCGAACGACATGCGGTGGGTGGTGAATATGGTGCTGGTTGGAAGAAGGCGTCTCTTGACATTCTTTGCTAATCCCTCCACACTAAGACTAAACATCCCCCACCTCTGGTATTTGACATTCCCCCCAATGTCTTGGGTCTCTTAAGGGGAACATGAAATCTTAGGGGTTGGGGGGTTTTAACTTTTAGCCTGAGGGGATTGGCACAAGTTGTGGGGAGATGTGCGTGATGCCAGGTCGGCAAAGGCCGCTTGCTGACCACGTTCTTTCCGGAAAACATGGATGAGGCATAACGACGGTCTGTCCCACATCATGTGAGCTATAGTCTAGACTCCTAAAAGAGGTTATATAGGGGAGTATTTTAGGGGCTATTTGGGGGATACTAGGAGTTTGGACTATGGCTCGTGTAATTGTATGGGGAGTCCTTAGTACCTTGCCCCACCAGCCTACGCATGGAACATTTGCGTTCTACTGCCCACCCCAAATGAACCTGGAACCCGGCAAGGGTTCCCAAGAAGAATACAATCACTTCGCAGTAGCCCTAAACCCTAACCCTAAATAGTAGTTTCTATTTTCTTTTCCATTATCCCTATATAACCCCAATATATACCCTACAATCCCTATATAACCCTGAACCCTAAGCCCTGTTTGAGGGAGGATTCTTCCCAAGGCGAAGCCGACCATTGTGGACGGAAGAGAGCTGAAAGATGACCGAAGCGCAGCCGTCCCAGCAATTCGGGCTGTTATAGGGGCTATATAGGGGTAATATAGGGGTTATATAGGGATAATGGAAAAGAAAATGGAAGCTACTATTTAGGATTTAGGGTTTAGGGGTTAGGGGCCCGTTACAAAGATGTATACTTGTTATGTAAAGGTATTTTGGGGGTATATAGGGGCCCCTTTGTGGGCATCTGTATAATTGGGACTGTGCATGGTGCATTGGGGTCTGTGGTGTGGCCAAACCCCTATAAAAGTAGAGTCATTCAGAACCATGCAATGCGGGTAGCCCAACTGATGTTTAAGCATGTCTTAGGCTGCCTGAAGGTTGCTCGCTGGAGTAAATCCAAGGTCTGTGTCGTCTACGACAACCCCCTGGACAATGTGGAGGCTTGAATTGGCGAATAAAACAGCGGTTTCAGATGCTGAGTGTGAAGATGGCCTTGCGTCAGATGGGACAAGGTGCACTCAGGGTCTTTGCAACTAGGACCTTGCGCACATTTTCTTCCAGAGATGTTTGGAGGCAAAAGTCGGGTCCTCAGCATTAGGCCTGGGGTTCACCAACTGTATAGAGCTTGGAGTGTTGAACGACATGGTTTCCTGTCTCCATTCGGACTCATGTCCGACCCTGCCTAGAGCGGCTTGTTGCCCCTAAACCCTAAACCTTAAGCCCCAAAACCTCCCCTACCTGTGCACTAGCAACCCATCAAGGCCGGGAACTAGCTACCTGGATATTGAAAAAGGTGGGTTAGTAGGGGATAGAGGGATATGGTATGTATACGGATTATATAGGTCCCTCCTTTGGTGCTTTCTGAGGTGGTTCCGTACGTTGTCACGAAGAAGACAGCATGGGCCGTAGTGAGCCCTTTCTTTTGCCCAGAATGCAGCTGTAATTTGCTTCGGCGCCCACGCCGCCTAAGGTCTTCAAGTGGCAGGAAGGCTTCTGGCAGATCATGCGAGATGTTTTCGATGCCAAATACAAAGCCCGTGCCTTGAGAGCCAAAGGCTTCGCAACAGATATTCCGCCATTTTTGGTGTGGTGTAGAGTTGGCCGTGCGCAGAGGCTAGTCCGTAGTCTTGTCAAGATCTGGATGCCAAGAATCTGATTTCAGATTTCATTAGAGCCCGCTTTTCCCACCACATCTTGACGTGCAATGGTGTAAAAGTGTATAAGCCATGTGCAATGGTGTAAAAGCCTCAGCAAGGACAGTGCCCGCCATGCAAATGACGATGGTGTTCTGCTAAGTGGAACTTAAATTCCACTCTCCGCGCTGGTGGATAACTCCACATCATAGATGTGAGTGCCCAGGCTCAGTAACCATACATGACCTCCATTCCAAGCAAGTACATATGATCTTTCTACCGCCACGGCTGCTGCTGCTGCTACTACTACCACCACTACTACTGCTGCTACTGCTACTTCTTTCTTCTTTTACGCTGAGCCTCATACAACCACCATGTAGTCCCCAACGATCATCCCCAAAGTGAACTTACAAGTCTCGACCCGGATATGCCTCATAATGGTCCGCTGATGCCTCAGAGCAGGGCCCATGCTAGGTAATGCCCTCCCTCTGAACACAAACCTCCCCGCCCCGTAACAACAAACCTTCCCCCCGCCATGTTAAGATAGTATTCTGTCGGTATCTATCATCAAGGGGGGTTGGGCGGTTTATCCTCAGGGGGGGGCGTACACCCAAGTCTGAATCTGCGATCTGAAGGCAGACTTTTTGGCTGCCGGTCTTCTAGCCTGGGACCCGGAGCTATCGGTTTAGGGATTCGGGTTTATAGTTCTCCTTAAGTAGATAGAATATGGCTTTGGGTATACTATAATAAGATCCCCATATCTCCCATATTCTATCTACTTAAGGGGGACTATAGATTGACATCTTGGTATTGGTGTAGACTTGAGCCCCAATAAAGAATGGCTTCCAGGGCACCGCTTGAGACTAAGTACTCTCAACATGCTGGAATTTCGATGGTATATGGTATATGGGGATTTCCCGAACTTGGGGGTTACCTTTTTGGGGGTCACCATACTTAGGATTATAGTATATTGGGGCTTATTTAGGGAAACTACCATCTGAGGTGTGCACGGTTTCCTTATGCTTTTTCCGTTTACACTACTCCAGCTATTTGAATGGCTCGCTGGCGGTGACAGAAACAATGCTGGGCCAGAGCTGTCAACGGTTACTCGGCAGTACAGCATTTTGCAGATAGGCTTCGAATCAGAATTCAAGTGCCCAATCTAGCTAATTGCAGCTATGGGACAGCCCGAAAGACATGCCCGATACGCCGTGTCTTGCCGGCATTTCTGCACCGCTCGAACAGAAAAGCGTTGTGGGAAGCCAGTGCGCATAACGTAAAGTACCTCTTCAGTCATATGGGCAGTTCCCAGAATTAGGGTCCCAATTTAGTATCCCTAAATATTGGGCACCGTAATGTAACCTACAACCACAAGGGCCCGTAATTTTGAGAACAAGCCCATATGATTGTTGTCATCGCGAGAGCTATCAAGCATCAGTGTCAACCTAACCCTAAACCCTAGACCTTATAGTAGTTTCCATTTCCTTTTCCATTATCCCTATATAGCCCCTGTACGACCCCTATATTACCCCAACATAACCCCCATTAATCAGGGATTTAAATCTACAAGCACCAGGGCAGACTCACAGGTTCAGCTTTGCTGTTCACAGCACCCCTTTTGATGTTTGATACGAAAAAGTTTGCATGATCTTAGGTACCTCATACCTTGGGAATGATGGTTTTCTCATACACTGAAGTCACGCATCAGGTTTAGCAAGTCTGACTACCCTAAAGCTTGGGTACTGCCCCCCAGTAACAGTCTACATTAGGGGTCCTATTAAGGGCTATATATAAGCCTATTATAATCATTATCCAACTGTTACTGAGGGGGGGCAGTACCCAACCTAAAGCCCTAAACCCTGAACCCTAAACCCTAAACCCAACCTAAAGCCCTAAACCCTGTGCCTAGGAGAAGACTGGGGGAGAATTGTTGGGATCTCAGTCCTCAGCACGTTGATTGGCTTTAGTTAAGCCGCAAGGTACATCCGTAAGTTGAATTCATAGTGATAAAGGGTTTTGGGTTGAGGGCTTCCCAAAATCAGGGGTACCATTTTGGGGGTACCTATGGTAGGGATTATAGTAAATTTGGGGTCTAAATTGGGGTCCCCCTGTTTGGGAAACTAACATATGCTCAGGAGAGTAGCTATCTCAGCTGAAGCACTCCTCAGTTCCTCCCAGAGTTGTGATCAATTGCTGTGCCAGGGGGTTTTCCGGGGTATCCTTCTCTGCAACATCCACAGTTCTGGCACCAGGCAACACCTGATTAGCGATGCGCGCTCCTGAGATGTGGGTTGTCCTTTGCATGCTGCGTTTTCTAGATGTCCTGTCTTGGCACGTGGCTTTTACGGCTTGCGTTGATGCTAGCTGTATTGATTCTGAACTGTCTTGCTCCTGTGACGATCCAGCAGCGCCCCGAGGTAGGAGTTGTAGGGTCTAGGAAGTCTTTCAAAATCAAACACAAGCAAATCGGAACGGCCAGCGAAATCGACTAGCAATGATGGCAGAACCGCTACACACAGGTCCCAACATGCATCGTGAAAAGCTGATTGGTTCTGAGCAGGGAATAATGCAATATAATTCCCCGTTTAAAAAATTCCTTGGAAAAGGCATCCCAGATACGCTTGCCCAAGGCTGCCACCATGCAGATCATTCGATGGACTGATGGTGGTTTTGGCATGGCCTGTCCACGCCCAAGACGCAGAGGAATGTGAAATAGTCTCTCATTCTTATGACTACGGACAACACTTTCAGAGTTGAGGCTCCCTTTCTGTCCCTCTGATTATGTCATAGCAGCATCTTGGCTATACATGACCTACTACAGATAGGCTTCAAGCTCGCCTAAAGCCTCTTCGTCTGAGTTGGCTCCGGCATGATTCCTGCAACTATGTTTGCATCCACCCATGAACCAGCAAATCCGTGCCTGCCGTCATCAAGATTTCTATTGGAAGGGGTCATCTTGACAGAATAGCCCAAGAAATACCCATGACTTTGACAAGCGACTGCGCAAGGCCACAACTACGATGGCGACATGCTTACCGATGAGGCAGGGGCAAGCCTTGAAACGCTAAGACTGGTGCTTTGCACATACCGGCTCCCATGCTCTAAAATTGAGACTATCCTTCATTTCTTGCCCAGCTGGCCTTGGGAAGTGGCCGTAGCTTGTTGGACCGTGAGCCGTCCAGTCAACTTTCGTCACTCAAGACCTGCACGCCTTCTGTGGGTGGTTGTCAAAATTATGGTCCCTTTTTGGGTACCCTAAATATTAGGTGCCGTACTATAATAGGGACCCAAAAAGGGACCATAATTTTCACAATCACCCATGTGAAGCTGCAAGTGCTAAAAGCCTTTGCAGGTGGCGCAGGTGCATCGCAGCCCTGGCTTCATCACATCGAACCTCATAGGCAAACGAGAGGTCCCGAGCAGCAAGCAATTGCTAGATAGGAGAACTTCAGGGTAAAAAGTACAGTAAAGTGCCGACCGCACCATC